GTAGTTGTTCTGACCTTGGGTGAGGTGTTTCATTAATGAGTACAAAAAGCACTAACCATAAAAGACAGAACTGACCAATTCAAGAACTACTATTGCCAAAAGAATTGTTACACAAAGTATGGCTTGCTTTTCAAATTGGAAGAAGGCATTTGCAACATACATGAAGAACTTGGAACAAACCAATATGAAAGGATAAATAACCAAATAGAAAAACAGGCACATGATACGATTTGGTATTAAAGAGAAAAATAAATATACATGGCTAACAGGTGACAAGATGACTGACCTCATTCTAAACAAAGAAGCACAAATCAAGACCACAATAAAATAGCATTTTATACCCAGTCCACTGGCAAAAGTCCAGAATGATAATACTGAATGTTGGGGAGGATCCAGGGGATCCTTATGTACCGCTGGGGAGAGTGTAAAGTGACGCAGCCACTGTAAGACAATGCCAAATTGTTTGCCAAGATTAAACATTCACATATTCAGTAACCCAGCGAATTCCACTCCTAGAGAAATTGTATACCAAGACACATGGATGAGAATACAAGTATTTAAAGCAGCACTGTTTATGATATCAATAAACTGGAAACAACCCAAATGTTCACTAACAGGAAGTGTGGTATATTCATCTAATGGAACAGGAGATCGCAGAGAAAATGAACTGCAGCTCTGGATGACGTATGTTAATTTCAGTTGCATCAAAAGAGTAATTCCTGAAAGACTGCACACAGCACGATTCTTTTAAAGTTCAAAAACACCATCTCAGTTTTAAAAAGCAAGGGAATGATAAACACCACGTTTAGGAGTGTTTCCTTGGGAGGGAGGAAGTACAGGGTAGGAAAGTCCACAGAGGTGGTTAAAGGTTCTTGCCAGGGTTCTGATTCTTCCAAAAAAAATTGATGAGGTAGTGGGTTTCCTTAGGAATTCATAACATTATTAAAACATGTAAATAAATTTGTATGAATAAAGTAAAAAAGGCCATGCACGGATCAATAATGAGATTATGTCACAAACCCAGGATTGTGATTTAATCTAATTCTAGGTAACTAGAGTCCATCAAAAATAAAATGAAACAAAAAACTTCACGCCATTTCAAAAACCTTTAATGGCTGCTCTCCATTGCATTAGGCCTCTTATGGGCTCTAAGCTGTGAGAACTGGATGCTCCATAATTCATTTCTTCAACATAACGGAAGAAAGGAAGGGAGGAAGGAAGGACAAAACAGGGAAAGCCTGCAGGACTAAGTGATTCTCCAACTAAGCTGTCATCTGACAGCGGAAGTCAGCCTTGAAATTAGAATCCAAAATCCTTCCTCTGCAAACACTGCCAACACTATCACAGTATTGATACTTGTATGTTTACAGGCATACCTTGGGGATATTGTGGGTTTGGTTCCAGACCACCGCAATAAAGCACGTATCACAGTAAAGCAACTCACATGGATTTTCCTGGTTTCCCAGTGCATGTAAGAGTTATGTCTACACTATCCTTTAGTCTATTAAGTGTGCAATAGCATTAGTCTAAAAAAATGTACATACTTTTATTAAAAAATACTTTATTGCTAAAAATTACTACTATTAAGCCTTCAAGGAGTTGCAGTAGTAACAAAGATAACTGATCACAGATCACCATAACAAAACTAATGAAAGTGTTGGAAACATTGTGAGAATTACCAAACTGTGACACAGAGATACAAAGTGAGCAAATGCTGTTGGAAAAACGGCACCGATAGACCTGCTCGATGCAGGGTTGCCACAAACCTTCAATTTGTAAAAAAGCGCAGTATCTGTGAAGGGCAGCAAAGCAAAGCACCATAAAGTAAGGCGTGCCTATAGTTCCCCTCTTTTAATTTCTTTTGGAAAATCTCAAACCTTCACCATCCAACGTGGCAGCCGCTAACTACACGTGGGCATTTACATCAATGAAAATAAAGTTCCGAATTCAGTTCCTCAGTCACAACAGCCGCTTGTGAAGCCCAAGGCTGGCTACCTTATCAGACAACAGAGACAGAGAACATCTCCATCACCCCAGAAAGCTGGATTGGACAGCACTGCCTTACACCCAAGAAAAGGAGGGAGGAGAGGAACTTGTTCATACACAAGCCAGGATGGAGGAGTGCCGGCGCGTCTTGGGGTTGGTGGAGGGGATCACAGACGGCTGACGGAGAGCTGAGGTGTCTTCTCAGGTGGAGATCGACAACACCAGTCCCGGGGCTGACAGCCTCAGGCAGGGACCCCGAGTGACCAGGACAGCCTGCTTGGTGAAACCGGCAGCCCCTTCACTCTGCGCCCTCGGGGTGGGGTCCCTCGAAACTCTCAGCTGGGAGGGCGGGACAAGCGCTTATGAACATGCCCCTCCGCTTACCCCAGCCCTTCTTCCCTAATAGCCCCACCTGCCCTGCCCTTCGGGGTGATTTTGCTCTGAAGTACCCCTGGGGAGGATCAAAGGAGCTAGGCTGGGAGATGTCAAAGTGTTAGCAAACATAGCAACTGCCATTTGTCTTGGACCACTGGGGGAGGGCTTGGGGAGGGGTAGAGTTCCCCCCACCCCACCCCTGCCCCATCAGCGCACACCCTTAAAGCAAGAGATAAATCCTCCAAAGTCAGTCACTGCAGCTGGTCCCTGTCCTAACCAGCGTCTATGTGGTGATAAACCCTTGCCAGCCTCACGCTATCAGCCAGGACCAACAACCCAGGGCCATCAGAGCAGGAAAGGCTGGGAGGTGACCAGCGCATAGATTAGGACACTGAGGCCCAGGGTGGGGCAGGAACCTGCACAAGTTCACACGGCCAGGGGGTGGAAGAACCCAGAGCGGGAACAGGGCTGCCGCCTCTCCTGGCTCCCTGGCCTCCTACTAAGCAAGGTGGTGGCTTCCGTGGAGACTCTGCATCCTTCCATCTGCGCGCAGTCACCCCTCTCTGACCAGCAGTGATCACAGGCTCGCCCACAGGCCTTGGACAGAGGGCAGATGAAGTGCCCTGACCGAGGGGGCTGGGGCCTGGCAACCAGCCAGGTTTGGCCCTTTCCTGGAACCCAGGCTGCTTTTCAGGCTCTGAGGAGCTGCCTGAACAGGGGGTCAGGTCAACTCCCCTGGGCCAGCACGTGTAGTCTAGGAATGATGGCAGGATTCCAGGTCAAGTGATCGGTGGGGGTGGGAGGGAGCTGGCCACAGGGAAAGAGGGAGGAAAGAGCTTGCAGGGGTCCCTGGGCCCCTCCTCGGGGCTCCCACAGCACCTGGGCTCCTCACCAGATGGCGGCAGGCTCCAGGGGTTGCTTCCGCCAATGGGCTGGGGGTCCCTGAAGGCTGGGCCTGCAGCTCACTCCCCTCTGACGCCAGCACAGTGCCGGGCACGTAAGAAGGCGTTCCAGAGAACGTTTACTGAACCAGCAAGTGAGGCAGAGAGCTGGGGGCTGGAGGATCCCACCCCGAGCAGCTGGAGCCGGGGCCTCAGCAGTCAAGAACATGGAAACTTATTTTCCCCGGATTCCATCTTTTACAATTAAATGCTCACGGTCTCTGCCTGACCTCGGGGCTTAGAACCAGCCTATGGCAAGAGGCTCTGCTGGGCCATACACAGCACTCGCCACTAGCTGGGCATTTCCTTCTCATTTCCTCCCAAGGTCCACCCTATAAGGTAGGTTACCCTGTCTAAAGGCTTAGGACGGACTTTAAAAGTTGCTCAAGATATACTACTAGGGCTTCCCTGGTGGCGCAGTGGTTGAGAGTCCGCCTGCCGATGCAAGGGACACAGGTTTGTGCCCCGGTCCGGGAAGACCCCACATGCCGTGGAGCGGCTGGGCCCGTGAGCCATGGCCGCTGAACCTGCGCGTCCGGAGCCTGTGCTCCGCAACGGGAGAGGCCACAACAGTGAGAGGCCCGCGTACCGCAAAAAAAAAAGATATACTACTAGTATGAGGTGCAGCTGAGATTCACACGTGGACACGTCATCCTTCAGAGATCATATTTTGAACCACCTTCACTCATCCAGCAAACACCAGTGAGCCCCAACCGTGTGTAGGCGCTTCCCTAGGTGCTCGAAACACAGCTGTGAACAGAACCTGCCCAGCTCCATGAGAGCTTTCATGCTAGTAAATGAGGAGACAGACAAAAACCAACCAAATAACACCACGTGGTAGAGTAGGATCGCCACACTTTTTCTGTTAAAAGGCCAGACAATAAACACTTTTGGCTTTGCTGGCCATATGGTCTTTGTGGCAACTTAGCTCTGCAACAGGGGAGATATGTAAATGAGTGGGTGTGGCTATGTGCCAATAAAACTTTATTAATGGACAGTGAATTTTAAATTTCATACAATTTTCAAGTGCCACAAATGCTATTCTTTTGATTTTCTTTTTCAAGTGCCACAAATGTTATTCTTTTGATTTTCTTTTTCAATCATTTAGAAATATAGAAACTATTCTTAGCTTGCAGGTCGCACACACACAGGTGGTGGCCCGGTTTTGGTCCATGGTCTGTACCCTACCAACTCCTGGGAGACACAGCAGCTGGGGTATGTGAGGGGGAATTTAGACAGAGCAGCCAAGGAGGTCTCCCCAAGGAGATGACACGGGAGCAGACCCCTGAATGAGGCAGGCAGGGAGCCCTGTGCTCCTGGCAAAGGGAACAGCATGTGCAAAGGCCCGGCAGCATGAATGCAGGGGAGGATGGAGGCCAAGCGGCAGGAGAGAGGTCTCTGCAGTTGATGGGAACCAGATCACGTGGGCCTCCAAGCCCTGGTGAGGACTTTAGTCTAAATTTGACATCAAACCACTGGGCTCTGGCACTTATCAGCTTTGTGACCTTGGGCAAGTTACCGAACTTCTTTGTGCCTCAATTCTTTACAAAATGGGAATAGGAATGGTACCTGTCTCAGAAGGCGTAGGACTCTGTGAGCATAATGCCCGAAAGGAGTGTTAGCTTCTGATATCAATACTGGAGCCCAGCTGGAGGGGGCACAAGCTGGGAGAGGTGGTGACGGCTTTTGTCAACTCACCCACGATGTCCACCACGTCCGGCCGAATGAGCGGCTCCCCGCCCGTGAGTCGGATCTTGTCTACACCTTCTTTCACAAAGAGGCGGGCCAGGGTTAGGAGCTCCTCTGTGGTCAGCAGGTCTGCCTTGGGGGTCAGAGGGACACCCTCCTCGGGCATGCAGTATTGACCTGAGGGGAGGGAGGGGACGTGGAGGAAGGAAGTGACTGCAGCGGTCAGGCTGCGATGTTACCAGTCCCCAACTCCCCCACCAGGCCACAAGTGTCTCCTGAACCCCACCCCAGCCATGAGGAAAGACCCGGCCAAGTGTGAGGTGGCACAAACCCTAGGCCAGATTCTCTTTGGGGCTCACCACTCTCACCTACAAAATTTAACACCCCTTCCCCGACTGGCCTTGCTGTCCCTCAGGGCTTAAAGATGATAAATGAGGCTGACAGCTCAGCCTGGCTGGAGGTAGGGCAGGCCGAGACATGAAAGGCCAGGGCCCTGGGCCCATTCCTTCTGCCATCGTTCATCTCCTTCATTTCATCTGGTTTTGACAAACAGGGACCCTTCTCTATGTGTCCTAAGGCGAAGGAGGCTGGGAGGTGCTCCCTGGCCTGGGCAAAGCTGCTCTCCTCTGTGGCTACACATGTTCTCACACCCAGTTTGTCTCCTACAGGCGACCATCAGTCCCATTTCACAGGTTGGAAAACTGAGGTACCACCTGTTCAGGGCAAGGTAGCAGAAGGGGATAAATGAGGCGAGCCCTGGCCAGTGAGGGGGGCACCACCTCCTCCCATCAGTTCCCATGGTACGGGTTTAATCAGTACCAGTGGTCAGGATCCGCTAGGGGGTCATTCAGTCAAATCAGTGAAAGGTCCAGAATTGGTCTTTTAAGATGGAACAGATTAGGTAACAACATCAGAACATCAGTACTGCACGTAATGGGTATTGTTTGGTTAAACATTTACTACACATGCACGTATTTACTGGGCCATGAAGTAAATGTATTTCTTATTGTGAGCTACAGTGAGAGAAAGGAAGGGAGAAGAGAAGGAGGGAGGGAAGGAAGGCAGGACAGATGGACTAACACACTTCGGAAGCCCCTCCAGCGGTGGATCTGGCCCAGAGCACTCCGCGTGGGGTTATGAAACAAGGACTCTGTGTACTAGCCTGGCCCCAGACAACTCGTCTCATGGGACTGGGGTTGGGGTGTCTTTATAGCTGCCACTGCTGCCTATCTCACTTGTTTACACCGTCCAGCAGTCCCCATGCCACGTCCTGAACCGTGGGGACCGCAAGGAAACAGGAGGGAGGGGAAAGAGCCCCGAAGAGTGGGAGATCCCAGGCCAACCTCAATCCTAAACCCAACAGCAATTCTGTTCTCCAACCTAATCCCAAGTAGAACCCAGCTTCCAGGATCATAAAACTCACCCTTGACCCCTACCTTGCCCATGAACCCCACCTGGCAAGCAAGGAAGAAGGGCAGGTGGAGTTTTCTAGAAAGAGGAATGGGGAGGATTGAGAAGGATTCCCAGACACGGGGTGATTTAGGGGCTACTGCAGCAGAGGGACAGGAGCCCAGGAGGGCGACTCACATCTGAGGTTGCACTTCTCGGTGAGGGAGATCCGCAGGTAGCTGTGGCGCCGGCCGAAGCTGTCGGTGAGGAAGGCAGAGAAGGGGGCCGCGTGCTCCCTCAGGAACCGCCTCCGTCCGGACGGCACCTGCGACAACAGGGGCTGGGGGAGAGGTGCGAGGAGCGCCCACCTGGGGAGAGCAAGCCCTCTCCCCTCGACCATCCCCTCCCTCCTCTCTGACACCCGCGCACACTGCTAGCCTTTCCATCCACATGGGCTCCGCAGTCCTGGGGGTCTGGTATTCTCCTCTTATTCACAGGTTGGGAAACAGGCCTGGAGGGAAGGACGTGCCCCTCCAAGGTCACACACTCAGCCCCAGGGTGGAGGACCCCTGCAGGGGTGCAGCTGCCTACCGGCTGGGCAGCAAGGCACAGGGAAGGGCACTAAGCCCCAGCTGGGCCCCACCTCCTCCCTGCTACCCCTCCCTCAAAGGAAGCCTATCCGGGAACAGCCATCTCTAGCATCTCTTGGATGGGTCACTGGGAGGGCAGGTGCCATTTGGCAACTGGCAACCACGCCACCAGACAAGCACGTCCAGAAAGGAGGAGGGAGACAGCAGGTAGCTGAGAGGGAAGGTGGCCTGGGACACGGAAGCCACTTGTCCAACCCAGGCCTCCCATTCCTTACCTTGAGCTCGAAACAAAGTCACTCACTGTGAGGGAGGGGGTGTCACACAAGCTGCCTCCCCCTTGCGGATGGGGGGCTCTCTGGGGCCTCCTCAACACCCAGAAGGACCCAACAGGCCACACCCCCAGGAGCAGCCGGGGGCCACGCCCAGCTGGGCAGGGTAAACCCATGGGGAAGGCTCCCCTCCCACAGAAGGCCTTGGGGGGAAGACAGCACACTAGGGAGACCCACAGAGGGAATGAGGCCACCAGCCTCCAGGAAGGGAGAATGGAGGTGCCAGGATGGCCACCACACTAACCCCGTGCCCAGATTGCTTTAGTCCTTATCCTTCACCCACCCGTGGCCAGAAAAAAGGATTAAGGACCCACTGTTTGGGGTATAAGGGGAGGAGATGGCCCGAGGCTCCCCGCAAGGCCCAAACTCATCCTGGGGAGAGAAAGGAGGCAGCCAACCTCACCCTTTCCTAAATCTGAACTAGTTTGTTCTCTCTCCCCTCCCCCATCCTCCCATTTAGAACACAGCCCTGGGTCATGACATGCCGATGAGATAACTGCTCCACAGAGGTTAACAGTTTGCAAGGCATCTTAAGGTTTCCAAAGAATGTTCTCTGTTCCATCCCCACACCTAAAGGGATTATTATAACCAACTCTTGAATGGGGTCCAAGAACACCCCTGGCAGAACCAGGATTCAAATCCAGGTCTTCTGATTCCAAGTTCTAAATTCCTTCCCCTAGTTGCATAGGGTGTGTCCAAGAAGGTACACAGGATGGTACATAGGGCGGGGAGAAGTCATTTCTCTAGAATCTTTAGAACAGAGAAATCATGACTGTGGTGGTCATCCGTGAGGTCTATGGATAAGGCTCTGGCCTGGGGACACACTGGGAAAGTTCTCTAACTCCTCCAGGCCTGCTCTCCCAGCTGTTAAATAAGAACACAGTTGTGGGCCAAGGTTGTCTTGCTGTAAAGGAGGGGGCTAGTCAGGACACTGGTAGGGAAACACCCAGGATTCTCATGATCTTGTAACCTAAGAAAGCAGGCCTCCAGCCCTCCTGAGGTCCAGGAAGAAGAAACATTTACTTCAGAGACCTCCTCAGCCCTGGCTACATGTTAGAACCATCTGGGGAGTTGAAGAAAAAAGTTCTACTGGAGACCAGCTGAATTCAATCTCCAGATGCTGTGTTTTTTCACCTCTCCAGGTGATTCTAATGTATAGTCAAGGGCCACTGACTGACTCAGGAGGTAGAAGGGAAAGGAGAGGTAGAAGGGGGTGCTTCATGATTTTCCTGGGTCTATAAAACCGACCTCGCTCTGCCCACCCCAAGACCAGTTTCCCACATCCTCTAAGAAACCCTGCTCACAGCCCCGTGACGAGAAAGTAGCCGTCATTTCTCTGAACTGCAGTCTGAAATAAGTGTTCCTCCTTCCCTACTCACCCCACTGCCTTTCCACCAGTACCCTTGGGGGTGGGGCAGGGACACTTAAGAATCACGTGTCCCATCCCGGGACTTCCCTGGTGGCGCAGTGGTTAAGAATCGCCTGCCAATGCAGGGATCACGGGTTCGAGCCCTGGTCTGCAAAGATCCCACATGCCGCGGAGCAACTAAGCCCGTGTGCCACAACTACTGAGCCTGCGGTCTAGAGCCGGCAAGCCAAAACTACTGAGCCCACACGCCACAACTACTGAAGCCCATGCGCCTAGAGCCCGTGCTCTGCAACGAGAGAAGCCACGGCAATGAGAAGCCCACGCACTGCAATGAAGAGTAGCCCCAGCTCGCCGCAACTAGAGAAAGCCCACGCACAGCAACGAAGACCCAACGCAGCCAAAAAAATAAATAAATTTTTTTTTTTTTTTAAAAAAAGAGGGCTTCCCTGGTGGCGCAGTGGTTGAGAGTCCGCCTGCTGATGCAGGGGACACGGGTTCGTGCCCCGGTTCGGGAAGATCCCACATGCCGCAGAGCGGCTGGGCCCGTGAGCCATGGCCGCTGAGCCTGCGCGTCCGGAGCCTGTGCTCCGCAACGGGAGAGGCCACAACAGCGAGAGGCCCGCGTACCGCAAAAAAAAAAAAAAAAAAAAAAGAGTCCCATCTCCATTGGCCACCACAGTCCAGGAGCTCAGACACCTGGGAATCTGTGTAACAATTCAGTGATTTGTTAGTCCCCCCAGGCCTCACCTCCTCACTTGCCAAGATGCCCTCCTCACCCTAATCTTCACATCCTGGGAGAGGCGGCTGGGTGAGGGAGGAGCGAAAATAAAGCCGAGAATAGGGAGCAAGTGAGAGGACCCAGGAGCATGACTCAGCAGAAAGCAGAGAGGGAGCCGAGGAATGGGGCAACCCAGAATGGAATTAGGCCCCCACGGGAGGGGAGGCCAGATTTCACTTTTGAGACCTGGAGTGACCTTATCTAGATTCGTTCAGACTCTGTACAGCCAGTAGCTGACGCAGCCTCCTAAACACTCCCTCCCCTCCCCCTCCCCCTCGCAAACTCCTCAGTTGGGTATTAACACACCTCATCCCTGCCTCCTCCTCCAACACTGCATGCCCTACTTTCCTTCTTCTATTTTTTTTCTTCCCTTTAAACTCCCTGGAGGAAAAAATATCAGCACCAGTCAAAGGAGCCCAGAATCCTGGGATAATTACTGGGCAGATGAGACGGCAATGCCTCTCGCCCAGGCGGGGCTAGGACATGTCAGAAGTAGAACACCCTTAGGTGCTCGTATTCTCCGGCCCCGGCCTGGACCAGGCTGTTTCCCCTGGGTGGGAAGCCTTCCTGCCTGACTCTGTTTCCCGGTGTCATAGCAGGTGTCGAACCGCTGTGTCAATGAACAGACAGGCAGGTCCCTAACCCAGAGGGAAAGGTGGTGCGTGGAAAACCCAGTTGCAATGGGGTTGCCATGCATTTCTAGGCTGGTCTCTACTGTCAAAATGGTTTAGCCTCCTACAGTGGTTCTCAGCTTTTGTTACACATTAAAATCACCTGAAGACCTTCTAAGACGTGCTGATGCCAGAGCCCCAGCCCAAAGATTCGGACTCAGCTGCTCTCTGGGATGGGGCCCTAGTGGTTTATCTGAAACGTCCCTGTTCAGCTCTGTAGCCCAGGCTGAGAACCACTGGCCCTGCTACACCAGGACCCAGTGCCATTTTAATCCAGGGTGATTGCGGTTCTGAGCATAGGCTTTGGGAGCAGGTAAACTTGAATTAGAAGCCTGGCTCTGTTACCAACTAGCTGTAGAGCTAGTTGCTTACCATTCTCTAAGCCTTAGCTTCCTCGTCCATAAACTGTGGAAAATGATCCTACCTACCTCAACCGGAGGAGTTCCTGTCACACGGTAGGTATTCAGGAAGTGGCTGCTCCCATTCTCTTAATCTAACTCCTACTTACAAATAACCGTTCATCATGTGTCCATGGAGGGGCACTGTGTGTGTGTGTGCTGTGACTAGTTTTCCCACTCTTGTCAGCTTCTCTCGTCTTGCAAAGCCCTACTTAATGGCAGAGGGCCCAAGGCTGGGGTTTCAGACCTGCTGTCACACCACTCAGAGCAGGACACGTGGGGTCTGAGCTTCCCGAGAACCACAGATACTAGTGCCACAACCAGGAACTAGGCAGCCTACCACACGCTACTGGTTATATCTTGTCTACCAACCCAGTGCAAACTGGGATGAAGTGGTGGGGAAGAGTGGTAGGAAGGAGTTAGTTAAGGGAGGGACCCTGCCCTCAAAGTGCCTCCTCTAATATTCACTAACCTTGGGCCTTTGATCTGAATGATAAAGGCCGACCCCCAAACAGCTCTGGAGAGTAGACACTAGAAGAGCAGGAGAAAAAGAGCACAGGCCAAACCCAAGTATCACTGGCCCTGATTTACCTGCTCCTTGGGAGGATGTATACCCAGCGTGGCTCAAAATTAATCTCTATTGAATGAGGGGACCTGGCAAAGTGCCCAGCCCCAGGCTTTGACCTCCGCTCCCCCTCCAGCCCCACCCTAAGTGTGAGGTCTTCACACCTGTGGCTCCCAGCAAGGATAAGTCACACTTCATTGAAACAAAGCTGGGCAGGTTGGAAGTCCAGGCAGCCCCCTGAAAGGTCTCCTTTCCTTCCACGTGTGACTGCCCCGCCCCGGCCCTCCTCATGTACCAGTCCCTTCCTGCACAGCCCTCTCCCACGTTGTGTTCTCTCCAGCCCCCTGAACAGCTGGGTGCCTTTGCCTGGCAGTCTTCCTTTCCCCTGCCCCTGCCCCAAGGAAGCAGGCCCAGGGCCTGAGGCCAGCCCCTTGTCGTCCCAACAAAGCCTGCACGGAGCCTGAGAGGGAGAAAGAAGGGCGTAGTGCTTGCAACTGGGGGAAGCCCTCTGTCTTGCTGCCCCAAACAGGCTGGAGGGAGCTGTCTCCCCAACCCGCCTCCCCTTTCCACCTGCAGAAGCTCCTCGATCTGCCCCGGGACCAAGCCCAATGCCCCTATCCACTGTCCTCGCAGCCAGCTCCCTCCCCTCACTGCACAACTCTCCCACACCTACACCCCGACACACAGACAACAGCCAGGGGATTTCCCTGTCTCTCCAAGCACTTGCCATCTCAAACCAGACCTCAGGGCCCCGCGTAGGGTATGGGGGAAGGGAGGACAGGGCTTCCAGATGCCCCCACCCCTGCTCCTGCCAACTGGCAAGCTCGGTGGATTGGTTGAACATACCTCTGAGATTTTCCTAAGGACATTCTGTGCCCTCCCCCACTGCGTACAGATGGGCTAGTCCATCCCACTGGTTTTAAAGACAGGAAGAGAGGGGAAGAGACAGGCCCAGGAGCCAGGTCAAACTGGGGGCAAAGCGAGCATGAAAGCTTGGGGCTCCCTGTCCAGTGCTCTGTCACGTGCACCCTCACCAGACCTGTTTCAAACAGCCAAAAAATACCTGCTAACTCTACCGCCTGCAGAGCACCGGCTAAGCACTGTACCAAGAAAGGCAGGGGAGCACCCAGCACCCAAGGAGCAACCTATCTGAGGATAACCCTGGTGGGGAACGTCCAGGGTGGGAGGTCTGTGATCAGATAGTTGACAGAATGACTATCCTGAGTGTCCAGGTGGGAGGGGACTTAGGGGACACAGAATGTGGCAATGGCGGCAAGCATAATTACAACAAACATGTGCAATCCACGTGCACGGCACGTACATGTGCCAGGTTTTGTAGACACTGTTATTCCCATTTTACAGAGAAGAACACTGAGGCACTGAGAAGACCTGCTCAAGTTCACACACCTAATAAGTGGTAGGGCTGGGATTCAAACCGAGGCATTCTGAGTCCACCTTCTTACCTGCTAACGCTACCTGCCCTCATGGTGTAAAGGTAAGGGTAAGAGCAGCCTCTCTTCTACTCTCCCCACAGAAAAGAAGCAGGAGCACAAGTGCTAGAGTTTGAGCTCCGGTTCCCTTACTTTACAGCTCAGGGACTCCAGGGAAGTTAACTTCCATGAGCACCCTCACCTGAAAATACAAACTCTACTCACTTCACATGGTTTATTGTGAGGACTGAAAGAGAGCACGAATGAAGCCACTTAGCACAGGATGAAAGGTACAAAGTAAATGAGGGGCAAGGGGGAGAAGAAACTTCTCTTTTCCTGAATTCTTTAAAGATCTCTCATCTTTGCTTTCCAATTTTTCCCTCCACAAAGTTCAGAGTTCAAGGATACTGACAAACTTCTCCACCTCCCAGAAATGGGATCTGCTTATCTGAGGATCCCGCGGGTGGGGGGGAAGGGGGGATCAGATCTGGGGAAAGCAGGTCAGGCTGAGGCCCTCCCCTTGATTGAGCAACAGCAGGTGCATGATCTGATGAATCCCAGAACTTGAAACCCTGAGCCAGGAGGTGGGAAAAGAATGACCAGATCAGCCTAGAAAAGGCGTCACCAAAAAAGAGATGCTTCTCCCCAAATGATTCCCTGACAACATGGACAAAACAAATTTAAAACTTCTTATGCTGGAAACCCCTCTGAGATGCTGTTAAGGACTGAGGGGGTCTATCCCAACCCTAAAGACATAGCGGAGTCCCTAACCTGCAGGACCCCTGGTCCTGACTCCATTCTGCTCTAGAAAGAGACTGAACCCTCCTAAGGGAAATGAAGATGAAACAAAAAGAGTCAGTGAAGGACGGGTCACACAACCCTGTGACTACAAAGTGACAGTTGACTACTGGCAGCACCAAGGTGACGTTTTTAGTCAGTGCCACACTATGAAGTGGGGTGTCACAAAAACACCTGATCACACACAACCTCCACTGGGGGGCAGGGAGGAAAATGTTTAAAGAGGCTGGGTGTGAGGCAGGGCGGAAAGGGGTACTAATAATATCTCATTGGTCCCAGAGTCCTGCCGCCTGCTCCCCCATCTCTGGGAGTCACTCAGACCTGGAAGTGGGTTGCACGGATGGGTGGGCAGGGAGGTTTTTAAGCCAGACCCCAAGGAGCGCCCCACCCCGCCACCCCTCGTTGGGATACCGGGTGAGACTGGGCAGTCTATCTAGAAAACATCATTCCACTCCTCTCCCCACACCTAAATAAGCGCTGAGGAGTCCCTCGCAGAGGCAGACACCCCTCCCAGAAGCAGCTACCGCGGACGGGCCGGGGTGCTTCTGGGCATAAGGTGCAGCTGCCAGGCCACCCCCTCCCCCAAGAAAGTGTGGATGCGGGAGGCTCACCTCCACGGCAGGTTGGGAGGGCTCCCCGGGGTGTGGCTGCGTCACCAGAGCGCCCGAGCTGCAGCTCCGGACGCTGGACCTCAGGACCCGCCGCAGCATCCGGGACACCGGTTGGGCCGCCATGAAGCCTGTCCGGCAAGGCGAAACTACACTGGGTAGCCGGCTTTGGGAGCACGCTAGTCCGGGACTCGCTGCCCCGGGTCCTCCCGGCAGGGGCGTGGTGGGGGCGGGGCCATACCAGCCAATCGGTGAGGGCACCGTGCCGCGCGGCCTTCTGGGAGTTGTAGTCCACACCCTCTGCTCCTATCCCAGGAGGCTAAGTGTTCTAGGCCTTGCAAAGCACAAGTTCAAACTCACCCAAAGATCTTCAGTCTTTTCCTACAGGCAGCTCTGGACTTTGTGCCAGTCACACCATGACCTAAGTGCTTTAGGGTCAGGTGAATGAACTTTAAGGAGGTACCAAAAAAGTGGGTTATCAAGATAAATAATTTTTTGCGGTACGCGGGCCTCTCACTGTTGTGGCCTCTCCCGCTGCGGAGCACAGGCTCCGGACGCGCAGGCTCAGCGGCCATGGCTCACGGGCCCAGCTGCTCCGCGGCATGTGGGATCTTCCCGGACCGGGACACGAACCTGTGTCCCCTGTATCGGCAGGCGGACTCTCAACCACTGCGCCACCAGGGAAGCCCAAGATAATATTTTAATGCAATATTTTAAAAAGTCAGGGACTTCCCTGGTGGCGCAGTGGTTAAGAATCTGCCCGCCGATGCAGGGCATACGGTTCGAGCCCTGGTCTGGGAAGATGCCACATGCCGCAGAGCAACAAAACTACTGAGCCTGCGCTCTAGAGCCCAACTCCTGAGCCACAACTGCTGAGCCCCCATGCCACCGCTACTGAAGCCCGGGCACCTAGAGCCTGTGCTCTGCAGCAAGAGAAGCCACTGCAATGAGAAGCCCGCACACTGCAACGAAGAGCAGCCCCGGCTCACCGCAACTAGAGAAAGCCCCTGTGCAGCAAGGAAGATGCCACACAGCCAAAAAGTAAATAAATAAAAAATTAAAAAAAAAAAAAAATAAAGTCAGAATCAATGCAAAACAATCCATAATAAACAAAATATCAATATTTTATATAAAAACAATAACTGATCCTGCATGTTTATGACTTACGACTTACCTAACTCCTTTCACTGTTGTCTAGGCCCTGATTGTAGGATGGTCAGCTTGCTCCTTCAAGATACACTTCTCCAGGGACTTCCTTGGCAGTCCAGGGGTTAACACTCTGCACTTCCACCGCAGGGGCTGTGGGTTCCATTTCTGGGAATGGTTTTTTTTTTAACCAAAAAAAAACATGCTTTTTTTTTAACCAAAAAAGTTAAAAAAAAAAAACAAAAAACGATGCACTTCTCCAACTGTGCCCCCAAAGGAAGCTAACAATCTTGGCCTCTCTGTTTAAAAAAGTATGTAGCAAGAAGTCATAAAATGAGTAGATATCATCTTTGGAATGCTTCCTACACACCAAACACCATGCTAATGACATGGAGGAACCTTAAATGTATATCACTTAATACTTACAATAATCCTACAGTTACTAGGATGTCAATTTCGCAACTTAGGAAACAGAAGCTTAGAGAGGTTGGGTAATTTTCCCAAAGTCACCTGGCTGATAGGTGGCAAAACTGGGGTTTAAACCCAGGACAATATGATTCCTAAAGTAAAGATTCAGTATGTATCAGGAAATGGGAGGGGTGGGGGGTGTCCCTTTCTCTCTCTCAAAAACAAAGAGCTATAGTCTTTAAGGTTTCTCATGGAATGCACACTCAGTAATGAGTCTACGTACTAAGAATCTTATGCTCAAATAGGCCTATCTGTTGTATCCAAAACTATCACCATGGAATTGCAAGAACCAAACGCTGAATAGCATCATGGGAAACTCACCTTTAGTCTGATGCTAAAATCCTAGCTTTTCTGAAAGTCTCATTGCATTTGTACAAGTCAGTTGTAGTCAGTTATCTTTTCCTTTCCACTAGTCTATCAATTCTTCAAGACCAGGATCTACATCCTTATTTCCTAATATACACTTGGCAGCTAGTATCTTTCAGTCAAAGTTCAGACAATACATGCAGGGGGTGAGAGTGTGTCTGAGTACATTTGAGACAGTAGGACAGGCCTCACAGAAGTCTCTTTGCAAAGGGCCTGAGGACCATGGAGGACTGTTGAAGCTCTGTCCATGGCTAAGCTGGATGCCTGTCTTCCCTCCCCCACCCCCCATCCAAAAGGATCCAGGACAAAACTTGGAAACAACCAAGATGTCCTTCAGTAGGTAAATGGATTAATAAACTGTGGTACATCTAGACAATGCAATATTATTTCAGTGCTAAAAAGAAATGAGACATCAAGCCATGAAGAGACACGGAGGAACCTTAAATGCATATCACTAAGTGAAAGATGCCAATCTGAAAAGGCTCCCTACCGTATGATTCCAATTACATGACATTCTGGAAAAGGCAACACCATGGAGACAGGAAAAAAATCAGTGGTTGCCAGGGCTTAGTGGGAAGGGATGAATAGGTGGAGCACAGAGGACTTTTAGGACAGTGACGCTACTCTTTGTAATATCACAGTGATTGTACAGATCATTATTCATTTGTCCAAACACACAGAAGGTACAACACCAAGGATGGACCCAATTGTAAACTATGAACTTTGGGTAGTTGTGTTGTGTCAATGTAGGTTCATCAGTTGTAACAAATGTACCACCCTGGTGCGGGATGTTGATAGCCAAGAAGGCTGTACATGTGTGGAGGCAGGGAGTATGTGGGGAATCTCTGTAGCTTTTTCTTAATTTTTCTGGAACCTAGAACTTCTTTAAAAAATAAAGCCTTTATTTAAAACAGTCCAGGATTGGTTTTCTGGGCATATGCCCGTCACTGCCTCTCTCCCATAATAGAAGCCTCAAGTATCCAGCCCTCTGTACTCATTCAGATCCCTCCTCATTCCATCGGTAGCTGTGGACTCTCTTTGCAAGTTTAGGCGTTTTAATTAAGTAATGAAATTTTAAAAAGTTTTAGAAAATATTGTTTCAACAATTCCTATAATTTCTCCTCTTTTGGACCTTGTTCACGATGTTCTCCATTTGCCTCTCCAGGCCCACTCCCTGACCCTCCCCACCCTCCTCTGGGGACTAGGACATTGACGTCTACCAACTGCCTGGATGGCATCACCCAGGCACCCTTGTCTCTGGTTTCCAGATGGATCTGGCTAGTAGGAGGCACACGCAGGAGATTAGGGAGCAGAAAGAGAAGTCAGAGTATTTATTTCTCCTGCCTGTTTTGCTGTTGTTTGGCACTGACTATGTCTTTCTACAACTATACCTGGCATTGCATGGCCCTTCTACCATGAGTCCAGCTCTCATCAGGTCCAACAACACCATTTCTAGCCATTACCCTTCAGGTTGGGTGGGGTTGGCTTTCCTCTGTTGATGGTCACAGATGCCTCAACATCGGTGGGCACTCTTAACTCTGCCCACACCTCAAAAAATGGTCCTTTCAAAAACCCCACCTAAGTGTGCTGTCTGTTTCTTGCTGGTTCCATGACTGACAAAGGATTCAAGGACTTCTCCCTCCCGTAGTACCCTAGATTCACCCTTGTGGACAGTGGTAATTACAACAGAGTAACGCCACTGCGCCACCAGGGAAGTCCCTGTGCCTCCCCTTATATTTAATAATCCAGCAAAAGCCTATTTAATTGGTTTTTCACAGCCACCATACTGTGCAGTAGATAAG